GGGAGGCAGGGAAATGATCTCTAGCTGCAAGGAAGGCAAGGAAAATGATTCTCAGCTGCAAGGGAAAAATGATCAGCAGGCTTCATGATATTACTGAGCAGCCAGGTTTCTATGATGTTACTGAGTAGACAGAAAGAATAATCAATGGCTAATATATATGTGTGTGTGTACATACATAATATATGTACCCCAGTATTCCTAACAGTTTTCCAAGCCAGAATTTCAGTTGGCTGTTTGTTGGATGGAGCTTGTGCTTTCTCTCTGTATGGAGTACATCCCACGGGTAAAGATGCAGCAATCAAGCCTGACAGAATGAGTTCAATCCCTAGGACTTACATGGTGGAAGCACTTGCGTGGATGAAATCACGACTTAATCAGCTACACTCTGTAGTCTCTATAGAGCCTATCACTTTGGATATAATGTATCTGGGTAGTCCCTCTTGACATTCTCCAGGCCATTCTAATAACATGCAGCAAATTCCTCCTGACCCAGTATAAATTGTCCCCTGTGACTCTCTCCATAAATTTGTTTTATTTTCTTTTATCACCAAGAGGATAAGTTAAGTAGCTATACCCAACTTTTGCGGCCAGGACAAAAGGACTGGCTTTGTCACAGCAGAGTGTGGATTCAACACAGTTTCTTTATCTATAAAGTGAGGGTTGAGGCAGAATGCGGGTGGTACATGCTTGTAATCTTAACATTTGTAAGGCTGAGATGGGAAGATGGTAAATTCAAGGCCAGTCTGTGCTATGTAGAGTTACAGGCCAGCCTGGGCTACATAGTAAGGCAACTGTCACAAAACAAACAAGTGGAAAACATCTAGTGAGAACTTTGGACTCAATAGTTTCTGAATACTATCTGACTCACACTGATGGCCCAGGGTTTGATGCTGTTGTTTTTTTTTTTTTTTTTGTTTTTTTTTTTTGTTTTGTTTTTTTTTTTAATATCGTAGTAACATTTATTTATTTATTTATTTGCTTATTTATTTATTTAGTATGTGTAATCAAGTGTGCGTGGAGGTCAGAGGATAACTTTTGGAAACTGATTCTCTATTTCTACCATGTAAGTCCTAGGGATTGAACTCATATTGCCAGGCTTGATTGCTTTACCCATAGAATCATCTTGCCAGCTTCCTGTTGTGTTTTTAAGTTTTCTAGAGGTACCTCCAAAAGGCAAATTCTGTTGCTAAGGATTAGGAGTTATGGGACTTTCCTCATAGCCTAGTTTCTACTGTTAAAAATATGTGTTTGGACCAGCACAGTGGCACATGCCTGTAATCCTAGCATTGGGAGAGGCAAAGGCAGCCTAGTCTACAAAGAGAGTCCAAGACAGCCAAGGCTACACAGAGAAACCCTGTCTTGAAACAAACAAACATGTGTGTTTGGAGCTGGACAAATAGCTCAGTGGGAAAAGTATTTGCCTTCCAAGTGTGAGGACCTGAGTTTGATTCCCAGAACTCATGTGAAAAGAGCTGGGTACGGTGGCAAGTGCCTGTCAATGCTGGGAGGTACAGACAAAGGGAGCCCTGGAGCTCTCTGATCTACCAGTTTAGTCAATTTGGTGAGCGCCAGACTACTGAGAGATCCTGTTTCAAAACACAAGGTGAGGGCCAGGACTGTAACTCAGTGTTAGCGTGCCTGCCAAGTATGTCTGAAGCCCTAGGTTCAGTCCCCAACACTGTCCACAAAAGACGAAGAAGAGGAGGAGAAGGAGGAAGAGAAAAAGAAAGAAAAGGAAGCCATTGAGGTTGTCTTAGAAATATTTTTATGACCAGGTGTGGTAACACATGCCTGTAATCCCAGCACTTGGGAAGCTGTGACCAAAAAAAAAAAAAAATATTATGAGTTAAAGCCAGTCTGGGCTACAGTATGAATTCAAGGCTAGCCTGAACTAACAGTAAAACTGTCTAAAAAAAACAAAAAACAAAAAACAAAAACCAAGGTTAATGGCTCTTAAAGGACAATACCTAAGGCTAACCTCTAACCACCACATACATATGATGAACACACACATGTACCTCTGTGACCATGTACTCTCACATGCACGTATCCACCCCCACATGCACTGTTCCAGTTTGGCTTCTGTTGCTGGGATAAACATCATGATCAAAAGTAACTTAGGGAAAGCAAGGGTTTCCTTCAGCTTGTAGTCCTAGGTTCATCACTGAGAGAGATCAGGGCAAGAGCTCAAACAGGAGCTGAATCAGGAACCGTGAAGATACACTGCTTCCTGATCTACTCACCGACTCTCAGGTTAGCTCGGCCAGCCAGGGTGGTGCCGTCCACAGCGGACCGGGCCCTTCTCCATCAACTAGACGGTCTCACTGACGCAGCCACAGGCCTGTGTTCAGCTGAGGTTCACTCTTCCCAGGGACTCTAGGTTTGTGCCAAGTTGACAATAAAAACTAACCAGCACATACATATGCGCACAAACAAATAAAAATTTTAAAAAAGTGGGCTCATGGCTGAAGAGATGGCTCAGTGGACCAGAGCTCCGTTCTCACACCCATGTCACACAACTACAACTGCCTGTAACTTATACCCCCAGGGGTTTGACATCCTCTTCTGGCCTCCTCAGGGACCCTCACTCACACTTGCATGTTCACAGACACACATACACATGAAAATAAAATGTCTGCCTGCTTGGCAGTTTCACTTCCAAGGATATGTCCTCAGTCATTGACAGCAGGGACATAAACAGATATTTTGTACATGGATCCTTAAAGCAGAATGTTATACAAGAGCCAAAAGGTGGAAACACTATAAAGGTCCATGGACAGATGAATGGATAGATGAAACATGACATACCTATATAATGAAATATTATTCAGCCTTGGGAGGACTGAGGTGAGCAAAGTGTTTTGTCTCATGCCTGTAATTCCAGCACTAGGGAGCCTGAGGCAGGAGGACTGCTTCAAGTGTGAGACCAATCTAGTCTACATAGCAAGATCCTGTGTGGGAGTGGGGTCGGGTGGGGAAGTTAGAGACACCATGACCAGAGCATCTATTATAAAAGAAAGCATTTAATTTAGGACCTGCTTACAGTTTCAGAGGGCTAGTCTATTATAATTATGGTGGGGAGCAGGCGGCACACAGGCAGCTATAGTGTGGACAAGCAGCAAAGAGCTCTACATTCTCATCTGTGGGCAGCAGGCAGAGAGAAAAGCACTGCCTGCCCAGGCTTTTGAAACCTCAAAGCCCACCCCCATCAACACACCTTCTCCAACAAAACCACGCCTCCTAGTCCTTCCCAAACAGGTCATCCTATGGAAACCAAGCATGCAAATATACAAACCTGTGGGGGCCATTCTCATTCAGACCACCACAGGGGCTGTGGAGATAGCTCAGAGGGTAAAACATTTAGCTTTGAAAGCCTGAGTTTGATGTCCAGAGCATGCATCATCGAAACCACGCTGACAAACAAAACAAACAAACAAAGAACCCACCTGTGTCATCCTAGCACTCCTATGGACAGATGCTAGGTGGAGACAGAATCGCCTGGAAGCTTCTGAGAAACTACAAGAAAGACCCTTCCTCAGTGATGTGAAAGGTGAGACGCACACAGGGCCTGCAATCACACACACAATTTTGAAAAAGACGGTCCTGTCTTCAAAAAAAAAAACAAAAAAAGGTTCAAGTAGTATAATAGTAATAATAAAATGGGTTTGCTCAGAGCCCCCATATTTTCTAAGCCTATCATATTAGCAGGATTCAAGCCAAGTAAACATCACCCAAACATCCCATCTCTTCAGCAAGTTCACTGATAATCGGAATCAATACAGAGAAAAAGAAGGTTCTCTGTCCCTGACTGTTCTGCTGTGCTCTGCCAGCTGTGGATTTGAGAGCTGGCTAATTGCCTCTGGAGACCTAGATTCCCCTCCCCACCCTCCAGCTGCTGTCCCTGTTAGGTACTCCAGAATTACAGATTTATTTCCCCTCCTCCTACTTTTCCTCCTTTCTTCCCCTCTCCTTCTCTTCTTTCCTTCTTCCTCCTTTCTTTTCTTTCCTTCCCTCCTCCCCTCTATCCCTCCCTCCCTCCCTCTCCCTGGTCCTTCTGTTCTCCCGCTTTTTCTTCCTTTCCCTTCTCTTCCTCCTCTCTCCTTCCTTCTCCTCCTGCTCCCATCCTTTCCTCCTTTCTGTCTCTCTCTCCCTCCATTCTTCTCCCTCTCATCCCTCCTTCCTCATTTTTTCCTTCCTTCTTGCTCTCTTCCTCCCCCTCTCCCCTTTCATTCCTTTTCTTTTTCACGGTCATGGTGTTGGTGATCCAGTGTAAGGCATCATTCATGCTAGGCTGGTGCTCTAGGGTTTGTTTGTTTTTGTTCCATTTTTTGAGATGAGAATTAACTGTATAGTCCAAGTTGGCTTGCTTTTGAATGTGCAATCCTCCTGCCTCAGTCTCCAAACTTCTGGAGACTCTTATCTCCAAAAAAGCCATCTCTGAATCAGAAAACCAGCTACTGATTCACTGTGAAGACAGACACACACGTACCCACCCGAAAATAAAATAGGACACATAGGGCTTCTCCTCTGGACATCTATACCTTGTTCTGGAACAATACTGACGGAACTGAGCTGCTATGAATGATCAGCAGGCACTAGGGATCCTTCAAGTGAAACCAAGAGATTCAGTGGAATGTAGCTAACCATCCCCACCAAAAATAAAAACCCCGGCTTCTCTCAGACGATCCAATTATCTCTCTAAAAAAGGGACTTTTTTTTTCTTTTTTTAACACTTCCCAACAGGCAGCAGATCTAGCAAGTGAGTTCTTGTGAACAGCAGTGAATAATCAGGCGGCTGGGGCCAAGATGTGAAAGAAAACATGGCCTGGCTTGGCTGTGAATTGAGATGGTAAAAATGAATAATATTGTTTTGGTGCCATCTGGATTGGTTTTTGTGATCAAAAGCATACTTTTAAGAATCCAAGTTTTCTAGTCATGAGACTATGCTTGTTGTTGGGGAGGAATTAAAAATGATTTTTTTTTCTCTGTTTTTTTTCCAGCTAAAAACAAAAGGAAGGGGTTGCAGAGATTTGCTTCTCAGGAAAGAGCATGTTCTGCTCTTACGGAGGGCCCCTGTTCAGTTCCCAGCACTCATCAGGGAGCCTTCAACAGCCTGAAGCTCTAGCTCCAGGGGATATGACGCCCTCTTCTGGACTTCACACACACATCCACTTGATTAAAAATAAAATAGGCTGTAAAATATTTGCATACATACACAAACACATGCACAGAGACCCTCCATTTGGCCTATAAAATAATTCAGGTTCCTTAGTAGAAGAATGAAAAAAATAAGGACAAAGTAAAAAAAAAAAAAGAAACACCCATAGTCCTACTATTTAGAACAAAAATCCCTCACTGTTTCGATGATGCTCTTCCACTCCTCATGAATATACATGACATGGACATGAATATGCATATGCGTATGGGCTCGTGCTGTGCTTAACAGGGTGAGGCATTTTCTCCTGTTGACATAGTCATTCCTTGTCTGGTCATATGTCATATTTGCATGATTCTTCTTTTCTGTGTTGGGAGGTTTTTGTTTTTGAGATGGGCCCTATGGAGACTACACTAACCTGGAATTTGCTATGTGGCTGAGGCTAGCCTGGAATTTACAATCCTCTTGCTCCCACCTCCTGAGTGCTGGGATGACAGGCGTGGGCCGCTGTGTTCAACTTAGGTTTTCTGTTTCTCAACCACTGGAGTTAGAAAAACGTCACAAATGTATGCCTGTGTTTTATGTGTGTGTATTCCTAAATGTGTGAGAGAATGAGAGCCAGTGTCTTCCTCAGTTGCTCGCTACCTTCACTTTTTTTTTTTTAATTTTAAGTTTTATTCATTCTACATCCCAGTCTTAGCCCCCTCCCTCCTCTCCTCCCGGTCCTACCTACCTTCATTTTTTTTTTTTAAATGTGCTTATAAATGTTTAAATGTATTTAAAAATGTAAATATGTATTTAAATTTTAAATGTATTTCTAAACATTGAGAGTCTGCGTGTATATGTATGTATCATATGTATGCCTGGTGCCCTTCGAGCCCAGAAGAGGGTGTCAGATCCCCTGGAACTACAGTTACTGGTGGGTATGACTTTTCCTGTAGGTGCTAGGAACCAAACCTCCTGTCCTCTACAAGAGTGGCAAGTGCTCTTACAGCAGAGACACCTCTCCAGCCCTCTCCCATCCTTAGGGTTTTGAGACAGGGTTTCTCAATGGGACCTGGGGCTCCTGACTAGTCTAGACCATCTGGCCAGAAAGCCCAAGGGATCTTCCTGACTCTGCCTCCTTGTGCTTAGGTTATAGATGACCACACCGGGTTTTCACATGGGTGCTGGGGATCCGAACTCAGGCCTGAGTGATTATCCATCAAGCTTTTTAGCCACTGACCTATTTTCCCAACCCCCAAATGGTCATTCTTAAAGGAATATGGCAGTGGTGAGCAAGCCCTGCTTGCTGCGAGTCTGCCCCATCATTTGTCGCCGGACACCTTTCTGGACAGCAAATGGGAGTCAACAAGGTGAGAATCTGGGTTAGTCTGTCTCCTGATGTTCAGGTCCCCTTTGCCAGTCTATCCTCAAAGCCTCCACGGGCCTGTCTGGGAACAGTGAACTTTAACTCTTCACCAGGAGGAGTGAGCCTCTCCCCAACTCCAGGCAGAAACAGTGTGGGGAGACAGTAGGCGTGGAGCTCAAGTGACATCACCAGTAGAAGGTCAGCCTCCCCAGGAGCCCTTCCTTTCTGTATTTTAGACACTGATCTAAAACATGTCATTCTCTAGGACGGTTCCCCAGTCCCTGCATCCGGAGAAACAGGCACAGCTCCGACCTCAGAGGGTTTCTTCTGCAGAGTGGTGACCTAACACTCAGGGGATGCCTTCAAGGCTCCTGGGACCTCAGGTATTGAAACATCCCGAGTATACAGGCATGTGTGGGGAATCCAGGACCATATGCACACACGCCTTCTCATCAAAGGCTACAGCCCAGCCCCAAGCTGGGCATAGTGGAACATGCCTTTAATCTCAGCTCCAGGGAGGCAGAGACAGGTGGATCTCTGCGAGTTTGAAACCAGATCCAGGGCAGCCAGATGTTAAGTTTCAATCCAGGGACAAACAGACCTAGCCTCCAGGTTCTCCCAGCATCCTTCAGTCCTTACCTGTTACAGGGTATGGCTGGCATACCCTACTATCTGCCCTGAACTTCCAGCCCAGGGGCTGGGCTGCCCTTCCCCCAGCGGCTCTTCCCTATATAATCCAGATATTTTGGTTACCTGTTCTCTCTGCCCCTTATTTTGGCCTCCTGGCTGCTGTATTTTGTTTTCTTCTTTCTCCCTTCCTCTTTCCCTCACCCTACATGGTTCAGGGTCATGACTAGCCTGCACTCTCCCAGATGTGTCTGCCTCTGGCTGTGCTCTCCCATATTTCTACAATAAGCTTTCTCCTAAGAGCAGTTATGTCCCCTTCCTTCCTTCCTTCCTTCCTTCCTTCCTTCCTTTCTTTCTTTCTTTCTTTCTTTCTTTCTTTCTTTCTTTCTTTCTTTCTTTCTTTCTCTCTTTCTCCTTCCTTCCTTCCTTCCTTTCTTCCTTCCTTTTCTTTTTTTCTTTCCTTTCTTCCTTCTTTCCTTCTTCCTTCCTTTTTTCTTCATTCACCAGAGAGATAGTGAGACCTTGTTTCAAAAACAAACAAACAAACAAACAAACAAAGGACAAGGAGATATGCTTGCCTGTGTGTGTGTGTGTGTGTGTGTGTGTGTGTGTGTGTATGTGTGTGTGTGATGGGTTCAGTGCTAGAACACTTGCCTGGAATCACTCATGTCTAGCAGATTACACTTTTCCAGACAGGGTTTTCCTGTGTAGCCTTGACTGTCCTGGGTTGGTCTCAAACTTACAGCAATCCCCCACCTCTGCCTTCCAAGTACTGGGATTACAGGCATGTCTCACTGCCTGGTTTATCCACCCCTATTTATAATAAGAAGAAATAGCCACACCTTCCTGCAGTATTAAATAATAAGTCCATTGAGTATTACAGAGAGAACCACACATTCCGGCCCAGCCTGTTAGCAGATACAGGAAATACATTAATAAACACCTTTGGACACAAACAGGTGGGGCATCGGGAGGTGCAGGAAGTCACCTGGGACCTCCTTTGTCCCTAAAGTCACCTTTAGCCCCAGCTATAAGGGATGGGGCTGTTGCTGAGACAGAGCTTCCTGCTGGGCTCTGGGCCCAAAAAGAGAACCACAGGCAGGGGCAGAGAGCGGCTACAATACTATTGTTGATTCCTGTGAGCCCTGACTCCAGGTTCTGTGCAGGTAGGTCACAAGAGTGTCATTTCCTCCTTTCTTTTTTTTTTCTTTTTTTCTTTTTATCAATTACAATTTATTCACTTTGTATCCCCCTGTAGCTCCCTCCTTCCTACCCTCCCAATCCCACCCTTCCTCTCCCTTCTCCACCCATGCTCCTCCCGGAGTCCACTGATAGGGGAGGTCTTCCTCCTCTTCCTTCTGATCCTAATCTATCAGGTTTCATCAGGAGTGGCTGCATTGTCTTCCTCTTGTAGCCTGGTTAGGCTGCTCCCCCCTCAGGGGGAGGTGATCAAAGAGCAGGCCAATCAGTTCATGAGACAGTCCCTGTTCCCATTACTATGTAACCCACTTGGACACTGAACTGCCATGGGCTACATCGGTGCAGGGGTTCTAGGTTATCTCCATGAATGGTCTTTGGTTGGAGTATCAGTCTCAGAAAAGACTCCTGTGCCCAGAATTTTTGGTTTTGTTGCTCTCCTTGTGGAGCTCCTGTCCTCTCCAGGTCTTACTATTTCCCACTTCTTTCATGAGATTCCCTGCACTCTGCCCAAAGGTTGGCCATAAGTCTCAGCACCTGCCATGATACCCTGCAGGGCAGAGCCTTTCAGAGGCCCTCTGTGGCAGGCTCTTGTCCTGTTCCCTGTTTTCTCCCTCTTCTGATATCCATCCTCTTTGCCTTTCTGAGTGGGGATTGAGCATCTTAGCCAGAGTTCTCCTTCTTGATTAGTTTCTTTAGCTGTACAGATTTTAGTATGTTTATCCTTATTATATGTCTGATATTCACTTATGAGTGAGTATATACCCTGTGTGTCTTTCTACTTCTAGGATACCTCACAGGATGATCTTTTCCAGTTCCCACCATTTACCTGCAAATTTCATGATTTCGTTGTTTTTTTTATTGCTGAGCAATATTCCATTGTGTAGATGTACCACAATTTCTGTATTCATTGCTCAACTGAGGGGCCTATGGGCTGTTTTCAGCTTCTGGCTATTACAAATAAAGCTGCTACAAACATGGGTAAGCAAATTTCGTCCTTTCCTAAGGCAGGTCACTCTGTGTGGTGGGGAACACGTTTCCTTTCCTGGGACAGCCCGCCCCACCCCCAAAGCACACAGGCTTCCTTGAGACCACCATGGGGGCTTCTGAATGGAAGAGGGTGGCACTGTAGGACAAGCCAAAGGGGCTTGGCTGTAGGCTGAGCGTGATGGGGAATGCCTGTGAACACTTGGGAGAATGTCCACCTCGAAGACAGCCCTGGCTACATAGCAAGATCCTGTAAATGCCTCAAAGGGACCCCAGTCCCCTCACTGGGTATTCTAAGCACTGGGTCTCCCAGTGAACTACATCATCTCCAGTCCACTCGAGGACTCTATGAAAGGGTTCTACATGCTCACATCGCCTCACTGGGGATTCTAGACAGGTCTTCCCCCACTAAACCATGCCCTAGTCCAGAATAGTCCTTTTCCTGTTCCTCATATCCCCAGGATGTATTTCTTTTGTTAGGAGATCGCCTGAGTGCCTTGTCTCAGATTCCCCAGCAGCGGACCACATACAGCTCTGGATCCTGTCTCTCCAGGTCTTGCTTTGCTTGTAGGTCCAGTCTCACCTTCCTGAAGCCCTTACTGGTCCAGGGCTGGGCAAGGACCAGTAGGCGACAGGGCAGGCACTGAGCCTTGCCCCGCCTGCCTTCCTGTCAGCTTGCACCTGCCCTTCCCAGTGTGGCCCACTGCCTTGGCCAGAGCCAACACAGCAGGTGGTGACTCCTGGTGTCAGCCTGGTTTTATGGGCTTGAGGTAAAGAGCCAGGGACTGGTGGGCGGGGTGGGTGGGGTTTCCCCTGTGGCTCTCGCTCTGCCTGTTTTAGGAGTAATCTCACAGAAAGTAGTGACCTTGTCTCGCTCACCCCAGTGTCTGGAACCTGCCTAGGGGCACTGCAGCCGCAGGAGGGATTCACTGACTGACTGGAAAAAAGCCTGACTAGGATCTGTGCCCTTTGCAGGAGGAGCCCACAGTCCATAGAAACCAACAATTAAAAACAGGGATGGCAGCATTGTGAGCCTTGTGACTTTTGTGAGGATCTTAGAAAAGGCGGGAGTATACTTGTACCCTGGACCCAAAAGTGGAAATAGAACCCCCGTGTCCTGTGGAGACGAGTGAGAGGAGCCAGGGCGTACCCTACATCACCCCAAGTCACCCCTCGAGCCTCATCTATACCTAACCAGTGCCTGCCTCTGCCTTCTGTCCCCTGTCATACCCGAGTCCCCTCACCTTACACCAGCTCTTCCTTTTCCCCATCAAAACTTATCTGTACCGGGTCTGCTTAGTAGAGCCTCCACTTTGACCACCACTCTTCCCTTTGCTCATCCACTTCTCATCTATCTTTGGGATGGCTTGCTCAAAGGTCACCCCAGAGAAGCCTCCCCTCATCACTAGAGCAGGCTGCCTTGCACA